CCCGAAACCCTAAACCCTAAACCCTAAACCCTAAACCCTAAACACTAAACCCTAAACCCTAAACCCTAAACCCTAAACCCTAAACCCTAAACCCTAAACCCTAAACCCTAAACCCTAAACCCTAAACCGTATCAATCCTGGAGCATCCCTGTAGACACCCCCAGTTTGCGAGGGCTTCGATGACAACAGATGGCCTACAAGGGCCCCGAGTTCAGAACAACTACCCAAACCCTAGACCGTAAACCCTAAACCCGAAACCCTAGACCCTAAACCCGAAACCCTAGACCCTAAACCCTAAGAAGCCCTAAACCCTCAGCCCTCATCTTAGACCCTATAAGGCTTTCAACCCAAGTCCCAGACTCTGGGAGGTCGGCCCCGCGCGCCGCCTGAGGCTCCGGGCTCAAGGCCTGGTGAACCTGAAGAGTTTAGGGTTTAGGGTTTAGGGTTTGGGGCTTGGGGTTTAGGGTTGAGGGTTTAGGGTTTAGGGTTTTGGGCTCAGGCTTGTAGGGCTACAGGGTTTTTATGGCTTAGAGCTGTGGGGCTACAGGGTGCTTAGGGCTTAGGGCTGCAGAGCTAGGGCTTAGGGTGATAGGGTACACTTCGGGCCACAGGTTGTTGTGGTGAGGTTTAGAGCTTAGGGTTTGGGCTTAGGAGCCAGGGCTTTGGGTTGTAGGGTTGTAATGTAGGGTTGTAGGGGTTCAGGGGTTTCGGGCTGCAGGGTGTTTAGGCAATGTAAGGTTCAGGGTTGCAGTTTTTTGGTTTAGGGCTTATAGGGCTGAGGGTTTCGGGGTTGCGGGGTTGCGGGGTTGAAGAGTTTCAGGATTTTAGGGTTGAGGGCTGTATAGGGTTTAGGGCAACACTGTTTTTAGGGTTGTAGGGTACGTAGGGTTGTGAGGGTGTTTCAGGGTTTCAGTGTTTAGGGATACTAAGAGAGTTGCAGGGTTTAGGGATTACCGGGTTCCAGGTTGACAGGGATTAAGGGGTGTCAGGGGTTTTTGGGTTTTGGGGTTTTCGTTACTGTGGTGTGTTCTGAATCATGTAATGCTGCCCTTACAGGTCCTATGAAGGTACCCCCAAAGGGGACCCGCATTTACAGAAGCTGTCGTTTGTTCAGGGCATGTGGTGTATGGTATGTCGCTTTGCCCGCTTCTTCTTCTTCCTCTTCCTCTTCTTCTTCTTCTTCATATTTTCTTGTTTCCGCCGGTCTTGCTTCAGGAGTTTAGGGCAGTTATAAGTCCAGAATTTCGGGTGGCTAGGGTTTAGGGTTTAGCGTGTTGGGATGAGGGCTTTCCCCAAAATGCATGCAGGCAATGAGGTGGCCAGGAACTGCACCTAGGAACTGCGGCCAGGACGGATGAGAGCAACCCTACCTCTACACCCCAAACCCCAAACACCAAAACCTGCGCAGGCAAGCGCGAGCTACTGCAACAGCTGGAGGACTTGCCTGAGCGCAGCAACTCGAAACCTCCCGGGTTTAGGGTTTAGGGTTTAGGGTTTAGGGTTTAGGGTTTAGGGTGTAGGGCCCGAACCCCTAAACGCCTGAATGCGTCTAGGGTTTAGGCTTCAGGGAAGGCCAAGCGACCCTTTGACCCTTCAAGGGTTTTGGCACCCTCTCTTAACATAACCAACACAGAAGAGTCACCTTCTTTTATGAGCAATTATTGGGGTTCACGAGTTGAGAGTGTTAGGGGTGTCGGCTTACGGTGTAGGGCTGGAGCTGTAACCCCTATAAGCCCCCGAACTTCAAGCCCCCCCATCCATGGGCTCCGGTATCAAACTAGGAAGGTTAAACCCTAAACCCTAAACCTAAACCCAAAACCCAAAACCCTAAACCCTAAACCCTAAACCCACGGACCTCCGCGATGCGCCGCCGAGTGCACGGGTGCTGGACAAGCTCCACGACTTCTTGCCCGGCATGCCCGCGGCACGGTTGCCTCATCTGCCCCTACCCCTAAGGGTCCATGTACCTATATAGTATATACCTGGTATACCTGACAGGATTTAGGGTTTAGGGTTTAGGGTTTAGGGCCTTAAGGGTGTTCTCAATAGTAGCTCTAGGGCCAAGTATATACTATATAGGCACATGGACCCTTTGGGTACATGTTGGCGAGTCTGCGGCTCCAGGATCAGGTGCCGCTGAAAACTTGCCAGATGGCATCACCGTCCGCACGGCCTTCCTGCCGCTGCCCGTTGCACATCCGCCGCAAGCGCACCAGACAATTGGGCACTAACATGCGGTCACAGTCCTTCACGGCAAGACGTTCGAGCCTGCCCTCTCCGCACTGCTATTCAGCAACGTGAAAAACTTCCAAACCCTGAACCCTGGACCCTAGACACCAAGCCCTAAACCCTACAAACCCTACAAACCCTATAAACCCTATAAACCCGGAACCCTAAACCCTAAACTCTAAACCCTAAACCCTAAATCCTAAACCCTAAACCCTAAACCGTAAACCCTAAACCCTAACTCGGACCGTAATCCGATCTGGGGCAAGGAGCGTCGGGACATCGAGGGTGCTGCAGATGCCCTGCGGGCCGGAAAGAAGCTCACCAGCGCCAAGGAAGAGGGTTTAGGGTTTAGGGTTTAGGGTTTAGGGAGTTTAGGGAGTTTAGGGTTTAGGGTTTAGGGTTTAGGGTTTAGGGTTGAGGGTTGAGGGTTGAGGGTTGAGGGTTTATAGAAGTAGGGTTTGTGACCGGAGTCCGGAGTCTTGTGCGGTTTCGTTTTTGTTTTTAACTTGTGGCTGCAACAAGTCGATTTGGCAAAAACCGCTGCAAAAATACTCAGCATTCTTTCATGATGAAGGCCCAAAATGGTCAAAGATCATTAGAAATGGTCACTCAGGGTTCCCCGAAATCATGAGAATTTGCCATTTGGGGGGGTTTCCAAGGCCGCCACACTAGCGAAAATCATCTCTATGTGTTGGCCTTAATTCCAGGTCCAAAAACCCTAAACCCTAAACCCTAAACTCAAAATGATCAAAAATGCCAAGAGAGGGCCATGTCGCGGTTCCTTGCTTCCAGGCTCGTGAAGGCCCAGAATGGTCAAAAGCGCTAACTTGGCCAATCGGGGTTTTCCGCCATAACTAGCGCAAATCCCTATGTGTTGCCCTGATTCAGGGTTTTTGTGAAAGCTCAACGTGGTCTAAGATTCACGAAAGCCAAGGTGTTTTTGGCCCTCGATTGGGGGCTTTTGAAAGCCCAAAGTGGTCAAACATCACGAAAATTGGCAATATTGGTTTTTCCAAGGCCGCCAAACTAGCCCAAGTCCCTACGTTTTGGCCGTAATTCCAGGTTTGTGAAAGTCCAAAATGGTCAACAACTGGCCATGTGGTAGTTTTTCCCGAGGGCGCCAAACTGGCGAAAATCCCGATGTTTTGGCGCTGTATCACAGGTTTGTGAAAGCACAAAATGTCTAAGATTGGCCAATTGCGAGTTTTCCAAGGCCGCAAACTATGTGTTGGCCCTAGATTGGGGTTTGTAGAGGAGCAATATGGCCAAACCTCACTGCTGTTGGCTTCTGTTTGGAAGGCACCAATGTGCTTGGTGAAGCTATACAATTTCTAGGGTTTGGGGTTTCGGGTTTATGTCTCTATAATGCAGGGTCAAAGTTCATGGTTCAGGGTTTCGGGTGATGTGAGGGCTGCTGGCGTGAAATATCCCTAAACCCTAAACCCTAAACCCTAAACCCTAAACCCTAAACGCTAAACCCTAAACCCTAAACCCTAAACCCTAAACCCTAAACCCTAAGCCCTAAGCCCTAAGCCCTAAGCCCTAAACCCTAAACCCTAAACCCTGAAAGGGACTCCGATGCAGGGAACCTGCCTTTCTGCCGGGGCCAAGAAGGGTGCCCTGTGTGATTCCGCTCTAGGCTACCTCCGGGCACAGGGTTTCGGGTTTAGGGTTTAGGGTTTAGGGTTTAGTGTTCAGGGTCAAGTGCTTGAGCGTTTCGGTGCCGAGAGGCCTTGGGAGTCGTGGCAGGGCCCCTAAATCCTACACCCAAGACCCCAAACCCGAAACCCTAAACCCCCCATACTTGCCAAAAAGGGTTCAGGGTTTGGGGTTTAGGGTTTTCTGGTTTAAAGTTCGGGGTTGAGGGTTTGGGCTTTCTTTCTGTTGCAGCTCCTTTTCTTTCCGTGGTTGGTGGAGAGCACTGGAAGTGAATCACGCCCCGGCCCTACACCCTGAACCCTATAGGCCCTATAGTCACCCTAAACCCTATAAACCCTATAAACCCTATAAACCCAAAAAACCCTATAAACCCTATAAACCCTATAAACCCTATAAACCCTATAACCCTATCAACCCTATAAACCCTATAAACCCCATAAACCCTATAAACCCTATAAACCCTATAAACCCTATAAACCCTATAAACCCGAGAGAGATTTTCGTTGCAGGACTTCACAACCTTGATCAGTGCCTATGGCGCGGTTGGCCAATGGAGGTGCGTGAACCCGTCGAAAGCCCTAAACGCCCTTCTTCCTACATCCCTACCTGGAGATTGTTCCAACAAGGGTCTTTAGGGTTTCGGGTTTAGGGTTTTGGGTTTAGGGTTTAGGGTTTAGGCCTTAGGGTTTAGGTTGTCTTTCTTTGGATCTCTATTCCGGTATATTCATTCAAGCTGTCTGTTTCGTTAAGCCTTCTTTGGTGTAGGAGAGTACTGGGCTGGGGTGTCTGGCAGCCTCATAGGTAAAAAGGATCAGAGCCCAGAATTCACTGCCCAAACCCAACCAACAAATGTGGCTCGGAACTGGGAAAGTTCAAGGTTTGTTGTAGACTCCAAACAAACCCTGCTTGACACACTGCACCCTAAACCCCAAACCCCCAAACTCACCTGAGGACACACACCAAAAAACCCCACACCCTAAACCCTAAACCCTAAACCCTAAACCCTAAACCCTAAACCCTAAACCCTAAACCCTAAACCCTAAACCCTAAACCCTAAACCCTAAACCCTTCAAATAGCTCTGGCGAGGCAAGCGCTTGCAGCCTTCGACGAGATGCAGGAGCAGGGTATTGAGCCCGTCGCCCGGGGGTTTAGGGTTTAGGGTTTAGGGTTTAGGCTTTAGGCTTTAGGCTTTAGGCTTTAGGCTTTCGGCTTTGGGGTTTAGGGGCGGCGGCGGGAATGTAGGATTATAGTTTGCGTGGTGTGTGCAGGGAGTGACTTCCGAGGTATGTAGCATCCGCGCCATACTACAGCAAACCCTAAACCCTAACCCCTACTTAAACCCTAAACCCTAAACCCTAAACCCTAAACCCTAAAGCCTGGAAGGTTCCGGCTTGCAGGGTTGGGGAGGCTCTTGGGTTGACTTGAGTCGTGATCCCCAGAAACTGAATCCTCGGCCCTAAGTCCCGAAGAGGGTTTAGGGTTTAGGGTTTAGGGCTTAGGGCTTTGGGCTTAGGGAAGTTCAGTTTAGTCCCTAAGTCCTCAACCGGAAACCCGAAACCCTAAATGGCTGTTTGCGAAAATAGGGGACCCCTAAAATAGACCCCCAAGCATTAGGACTCCCCGGAAATAGGGGCCCACAATAAGGTACCCCCCCCCCCCCCGCCCCCCAATTTCGGAAACCACCAAGTCGTGAACCCTAAGCCCAAACCCCTGCGCTCCCAAGCCCTCTACCCGAGGGCCGGACCGTTTGGCTACAGCGCAGCAGTTCGCGCACTGGGCCGCCAGCGACAGTGGTGCCTCACCCCGAGACTTATAGGGTTGGTGTCGGGCTTGGGGGAAGAGTTCGGGAGTTGCTGGTTCTGGTCTGAAGTGTCTTTTCACTAAGGGCCATGTTGGACATGTTTACGGGGTTTATGGTACTGGAGCTGAGTGCTTCAGCATTCTGCAGGTCGGGTGTTTAAGCACATGTTCACAGCTTTGTTGTCTTAAGTGAGGATGGCTGGAAGGACGGGGCAAGTGACAAATGCTTGCGCGCAAGGTTGGCTCCTTGGTAGTTTCCCGCGCTGTACATGGCTGGCCCTAAGCCCTGAACCGTGCGGTTTTCCCAAACTTGTCCTAAGAAGTCACCCAAGACTAGGCCGGCAATTATATCAGAAATAATGGGAAGGCCCATGCGCGCGGGTCTCGGAAATCCCATCCATCTTAAGGTAGCTGTTCAAGGGCCACAGGGCTTCAGTAGACCTGGAAGACAGTTGGTTCGAGGGCCTTGGATGTTTGGCTTTCGTTAGTACTGTTTGCTTAAGAACCCCAAAAAGTATGAACATATTCTTCCCTACAGGGGCAATAAGGGAGGTAGATATCTTTTTCCATTTTTTGGAGTTCTTAGGCAAATAGTAGGTTTGGCTAGCAGCTAGCGGCTTTGCAGCGAGCTGCGTCCAGGGAGGGCGCGGTGAAGCTCTTGGAGGAAGCCTCTGAGCGAGGCGGGGGGAGGAGGGGGCGGGGGCGATTTTGATGCTCGGATTTCAGGGCCAAGGTGAGGTTTTGGGTTTTGAGTTTAGGGTGTTGGGTTTAAACTCTGGGGTTTAGGCAGGGTTGTGATCGGAGGCTTCTGTTTAAGATGCCTTTCAGGGACATCTGCTTACCCTAAATATGATTTAGGGTAAATTCCATGTGGTATTGCTGGGCTCTCTGAATTCTGGGGCTTGGGCACGAAGGTGGCTGTGGCTTTCTAGAACTGGGCCCTCATGTCCTAAAACCTAGGGGCCAGGCTTGAAAGTCAGCCGATATACTAGGATGCCACGTAGTACCCCTGTTCCGCAAATCCCAGGATCCCTTGCAAAACTCTTTGAAGAAGGGCCACCCGAGACCTAGTAGAAGAGCCCACGGGGCGAGCCGGGACCATCCAGTAAGGCGTGCAGGCTGACACCGTCTTGCTTCTGGGCTGCATTGGGGGCTTGGTCATTGAACGGCTCCGGGCTGAAACTCGGGGGTTCGGGGCTTTAGGTTTTAAGGGCCTTCGGGCTTCATGGGTTTAGGATTTTGGCGGCTTGTGGGTCGCGATTCCCTGGAGCTTTGGTACACTTCCTGGAGACCGAAAATATGGACTCAGGAGCCACGGGCCGATGTCACCTCCAAAGCTATGCATGTGAATTCGCAACCGCCCACGGGCAGAGCCCCAAGAATGAGGGCAACCCTAAACCCCAAGACGTAAGCCCTAAACCCTAAACCCTAAACCCTAAACCCTAAACCCTAAACCCTAAACCCTAAACCCTAAACCCTAAACCCTAAACCCTAAACCCTACACCCTAAACCCTAAACCCTAAACCCAAAACCCTAAACCCTAAACCCTAAACCAAAGGGTCAACTTGGCTATGATCTCTCTCTAATGGAAGTACTACACCGAATGCTCTAACGGACGGCGCGAGGTGACAGCAGCCTGTTGCAACCCTAGCACCCTACAGGGCCCACGGCAGGTTCGCTGGCTGATCTGAAATTAGGGCTTTGGAGGATTCAGGGAAGTCCTCAGACTTTTTCTGGTGTGGTGAAGACAGAAATTCTTGACCTCGCCCACACGTGTTCGGTGATGTAGGCTAGTCTAAGCTGCACAACGTTCAGGCACACACAGCAGAGGGTGTAGGGGCCCTAAACCCTGCGGGCTTTGCCCTAAACCCTAAACCCTAAACCCTAAACCCTAAACCCTAAACCCTAAACCCTAAACCCTAAACCCTAAACCCTAAACCCTCCCTGGACTGCAACAGTGACCAACAGCTGAGGTTTAGCAGCGCCATGAAAGCGTGCGATTTGGACTGCGACAGGCCGGGTCTAGTGCTTAGGGGGGTAGTTCAGGTTTTAGGGTTTAGGGTTTAGGGTTTAGGGTTTAGGGTTTAGGGTTTAGGGTTTAGGGTTTAGGGTTTAGGGTTTAGGGTTTAGGGTTTAGGGTTTAGGGTAATCTCTGCCCTAAGCACCTGACACCTCTGAAGCCCCTGAAGCCCTAGCGAGGCTCAGGCCAATGCCCAAGGAAGGCTTTGTGTCCCCTTTCTCACCAGGGGTCCGATCTATGGCAAGTAAGATGTTTTTTCTTCAGGGTTACGAAATACGTGGAACGGGCATGTAGGTGTACAGGGCAAGTCGCCTTTATCATCCTAAACCCTAAACCCTAAACCATGTTCCCCATTGCGCACCCGCCAAAGACGCGCCTCATTGCAGATCTTTAGAGCCTTGGCTTGCCCATGTGTGAAGTGGCCTGTACTTGGAGGTTCATGGTACTTCTCTATTAACCAATTTCAACTGTACTTATAACCCACTTATAAGCCCCCTGAAGTGCCCCAATATGGTCAGAAGTACAGTTATAACTGGTGTTAGTATGTACCCCTAAACCCTAAACCCTAAACCATAAACCCCTAAGTACAGCTACACTTGGTTAACCTCCAAGTAAGTGTTGGCAGCTGGTCCCAGCCTGGCAAAGGGCGTTTTGCAGATTGCATGGCTTGAGGCTTTCAACTAAACCCACTTTCCTTGAACCGGATGCCCAAAACCAAATCTCTAAGACCCCAAAACCCCAAAACCCCCCAAAACCCCCCAAAACCCCCCAAAACCCCCCAAAACCCCCCAAAACCCCCCAAAACCCCCCAAAACCCCCCAAAACCCCCCAAAACCCCCCAAAACCCCCCAAAACCCCCCAAAACCCCCCAAAACCCCCCAAAACCCCCTAAGACCCCCCAAAACCCCCAAAACCCCAAACATTCAGACCCTCTCAGTCTAAACCCAATTCAGGGTGCTCGACCTCTTCGCCGCGATGAGGGAGTCCAACATTGATGCGGTGACCCGGTGAGAATGGTGTGGTGAAGTTGGTTTGGGGGTTTCCGAGAAGAGAGTCATACTATTAGGGGTCCATTAGGGGTCCCCTGGTATTTTAGTAAACTCCCATTTGGGATTTGGGATTGGGGCTTTTCCTGGCTGGAGGCTTCTCCTGGCTAGAGAGTTGAGGGTTTCGGGTTTAGGGTTTGGGTTTAGGGCTGTGGGTGCATGCGGGGTGTCAGCTAAGGGCTGGGCTGTACTTGTAGCATCGCAGGGGGCTACTTTCAGGGGGTGAGGGCGGGGTGGGAGGGGCTGAAGAGTTCAGGGTAATATAGGGGTCGGAATAAATTCTAGTATTTCCCTCTGATCCCTCTGTAATTATACGATGATGACCCCCCAAATACCCTATTCGAATTATTCAGGCCGCTATAGTATACCCTAAACCCCAAACCCCAAACCCTAAACCCCAAACCCTAAACCCTAAACCCCAAACCCTAAAACCTAAAGCCTCGAACCAAGAGTCAACCAGCAACGCTCTTTGGGCAGCGTGGGAGCGCACGCAAAAACGACAAGGCCTCCCCTGTGTGGGGTGCAGCTCCCACCTGCGGGTTTGGGGTTTTGGGTTCAGGGTTTAGGGTTTAGGGTTTGGGGTTTCGGGTTTTGAAGGGGCTTCTTAGCCTTTGGAAAGAATTCACCCAGCCCATCTCAACCTCGGCCCCTGTGAACGCCGAGGACATGCAGAGCTACGGCATTGTCATAGGCCGCCTTGGTGGTGGGGTTTCGGGCGTCTAGGGTTCCGGGTTCCGAGTATGAGCCCTTAATTTGCGTCCCTTGTTATTTTTTCCCTTATACACACTGGAGATTCTATGGTGGCCCACACTTCGGATCCCTATAATAGGGGACCTACTAGGGACCCATGGTTCCAACCTTAGACGATGTAAATTTCCGGATTTAGGGTGTGTCTTCTGAAAGAGCCGAAAGAGCCCTTGCTAAGGAGAGTCCAAGGAGGGGAATGCTAGGGAACGTTTAGTCGGAAGACCCACTTCATATACGCATCCCAGAATGCTAGGACGCCCAAGTGTAGCTCCCTTTCAAGCCTAAACCCCAGAAATTCAGGGATTCAGGGATCGTGATGCCTAATGAATGTGTGTATGTATGTATGTATGTATGTATGTATGTATGTATGTATGTATGTATGTATGTATGTATGTATGTATGTATGTATGTATGTATGTATGATTGTATGTATGTATGTATGTATGTATGTATGTATGTATGTATGTATGTATGCAGGTAGGTATGTAGGTATGCAGGTATGCAGGTATGTAGGTATGGAGGTATGTAGGTATGTAGGTATGTAGGTATGTAGGTATGTAGGTATGTAGGTATGTATGTAGGTATGTAGTATGTAGAGTAGTCACTCGCAGAAGTTCGTGCTGCGAATCCACTTAAAGGTGTCACGATTCATGGCCCCGAAACCTTAGACCCTCAATCCTAAACTCTAACATTTCGTGTTTTTTGGCCCCTCAAACCCTCAATGACTCAATCCTAAATTCCAATATTTCCGTGTTTTTTCGGCCCCTTAAACCCGAAATCTCAAATTCTCATATATCGTGGTTTTGGGCCCCTGCCGCTACAGGGTCATGCTGCTACGGCCAGGATTGGCCGCAGGCTGGGAAGTGCAGGGCACAGGATTAGGGTGTAGGGTTTCGGGCTACTAGGATCCAGAGGTAGGCCCTTATTCTATTTTTGGGGGGGTTTGGGTTGCCATAGGATCCCTTTCAACCAAAATCCTAAACCCTAAGCGCTTTGACCCTAAACCCTAACCCTAAACCCCTAAACCCTTCAGGGTTTTTTCAGGGCTGCACTGTGAGGAGCAGCCAGCATCCCAAGGACCAGTGAACCTGGAGTCCCCCCGTTAGGGCTTAGGGTTTAGGGTTTAGGGTTTTAGGGTTTAGGGTTTAGGGTTTTGGGTTTAGGGTGCAGTGGTCTCCTTTTCAGAGCTGACCTTTATACTCCTTCCAGGGGTCAACCCTAAACACACACCCTGAAACAAGAGCAACCGTCCGGCAAACAACTTGTGATAATAACGGGTGCCTCCAACAAACTCGGTTTGCAGAATGAATTTTGGAAATTTGTGGTTATAGAGGATGCATATACTAAAGTCAGTGCAACATTATGTCGTTGCCATAGCTTCAACCATGTCGCTTGCTGGTTCTGAGTAGGGAATTTGGGGATTCAGGGACCCTTCAGGGCCTGGATTGGGAACCTAGTTCCAGTATTGCCATAGAAACGAGCAAGATCACTACCAGATCATGACTACATCACATATTAGTTGCTCAAGCTACTTGTCGGAAAAACAACCATGAGGCAGGTTCCCTTCGTGCGTAAGGACTCCCCTTTTTAAGGGACTCTTTTCCCATGGTCCATCCCCTTTAAAGGACCTTCATTCCCTCAACCCTGGACCCCAAAACCCTAACCCCAAAACCCAAAACCCAAAACCCTAAACCCTAAACCCTAAACCCTAAACCCTAAACCCTAAACCCCGGGAGGCTCTGCGTCTTCTTATTGATGCCCGCGATGAAGACCTCGAGCCGAATGTGAGTCCGGCATGGCTTTTGTACGATATGGCGGTTTCCGCAATTGGGGTTTAGGGTTCAAGGGTTTAGGGGTTAAGGGTTAATACAGGGTTTAGGGTTGAGGGTTTAGGGTTTAGGGTTGAGGGGTCGGGGCAATTTTTGGCTGGGAGGGGGGTTCCTACAGCAAGGATTTTGGCGTACTAGGGCTACCCCCCTATGCTGGGAAGTTTGTAATATATCTACGAGCACTAAGCCCCTAAACAAATAAAACAAGGGGCCCACAACATGAAGGATCAACCACCCGCGTCCTTCAACCCGCCTTGGTAAAACCCTAAACCCTAAACCCTAAACCCTAAACCCTAAACCCTAAACCCTAAACCCTAAACCCTAAACACCTTGGGTGCTGCCAGGCTGTGACGGTCTCCGCGGTCATGCAGACACTCACCCGCAACGACCAGTGGGAGCGCGGACGCTTAGACATGAGCCAGGAGCTGTTGCCCTGAATGCTGTATATCTCACACCCCACACACCCGGAGCCCGGAAGTGTTCCTAACTTTGGGAGGCTAGGACCCGGAGTAGGCCCTTATTCCCTTTGTTTAGGGTTTGGGTTCCCTTTAAGCCCCTTAAACCAGAAAAGGGCACCCTTTTTATTGCTAGGTTACTCTTGGGTCTTTCTGCGTATGTCGGCACTCTTCTGATGCTTGCGGTCTGGTTTCGGAGGACGGGAAGTCGGGGGGTGCGCTGGACTTTGGGGTTCTCTAGGGTTTAGGGTTTTGGGGTTAGGGTTTAGGGGTTTAGGGGTTTAGGGGTTTAGGGGTTTAGGGTTTAGGGTTTAGGGTTTAGGGTTTAGGGTTTAGGGTTTGGGGTTTAGGGTTTAGGGTTTAGGGGTTTATGGGTTTCGGGGTTCAGGTGGGATTTCGGTGCAGGGGCCAAGGTCGCGGCCTTGTGAAGTAGCGGAAGCCACACATCGAACGACCCTAAGAGTCAACAAAGCCAGAATTGAGGGACTAAAGGAGTGACCCTTATAAGGGATCCCAGGGGGTTCTTTGGAGACTGCTCAGGTATATAGGGACCATATAACAAAGCATCCATATAAGATTAAGGGTCCCTTCCAGGGGTCCCTCCTTTTCCCCCTTAACAGCAACCGGGGGGGGGGGGGGGGTTCACAAGAACACGGAGACCTCTTCGCGCCTTTGGCGCACAAAAATATCCTTACAGGAGCCAACCTCAAGACCCCTAAACCTTAAACCCTAAACCCTAAACCCTAAACTCTAAACACCTTCAAGCGCCCCACCCATCATGGTGTTTGCTCCGAGAATGTTTGTCCCGTCTTTTCGGCACATTTGCGGATGTCAAGCCCCAAAACCCCAAACCTTCGAAAAAGGCGCCGGTGTGTCCTATATCCCCCTTGGGAGTTATGTTTTGTTTATACAAAACCCAAGAAAGTTTTAAAAGTATTGCTTTTATTGACGTTCTAAGGGGAGTATAGTGTCTAGCATGGGTATTAGGGGTAGTGTATGGGTAGTGTATATCATACTTCTATAAGGGTTATGAGTAATGAGGGACGGGACTTGTTGATGTTTAAGCTGCTGGAGAAATCCCAAGGGCACACGAGGCCCCAACCCTCAAACGTGTTACACCCACACCGCCAGAACCCTGCAGCCACACGCCCTAAACCCTAAACTCTAAAACCCTAAACCCTAACCACCCTCAACATCCCCCTGTTCCGTAAACCCGAAAGCCCTCGCCAGGCGGGCGCTGCAGCTTTGGCAGGAGTTTGGCGAGGCCGTTGGTCATTGAGGGCTTCGAGGAGCCCTACAACCCTAGAACCCAAGGACCCTAGAACCCCAGGACCCTGGAACCCCAGAACCCTGAAACCCTGGAATACTGGAACCCTGGAACTTCGGAACCCTAAACCCGAAACCCGAAACCCGAAACCCGAAACCCGAAACCCGAAACCCGAAACCCGAAACCCTAAACCCTAAACCCTAAACCCTAAACCCTAAACCCTAAACCCTAAACCCTAAACCCTAAACCCTAAACCCTACATGAAAGTTCTGAGTGGGCCTGTCAGGCTGAGCTGAAGGTTGATAGCATCTCCTTCACCACGGCAGCCGGGAGCCTGAAAGAGGCTTCAGGGGTTTAGGGTTTAGGGTTTAGGGTTGAGGGTTGAGGGTTTAGGGTTTAGGGTTTGGGGTTTAGGGCTTGGGGTCTAGGGTTTTGGGTTCAGGGTTTGGGGTTCAGGGTGTGGGGTTTAGGGTTTGGGGTTTTAGGGTTTGGGGCTTAGGGTTTAGGAGGGCAATATAGAAGTCTGGGACGGACCCTGAGCCCCAAGCCCGACATCTCAGCGTGGCAGTTTTTGACTGTTTGGGCCAAGTACGCACTCTTGGCGCTTGGGGGGGGCTCAAGGAAGCCCTGGACCCTAAACCCTAAACCCTAAACCCTAAACCCTAAACCCGCCAACCTAGCCACCCCAACTCCAAACCCAAATCCCTTCTCTAGACCTAAAGCCATGCTCAAGTTTCTGGGGTTCAGAGCTTGGGACTTCCAGGATTTAGGGTTCAGGGCTAAGGGCGCGCTGAAGGCCAAACTTAGCTTTGGGAATCAGGGTGTAGGGGCGGTCGTCTTCAGCCAAGCCCCCCCCCCCCTGTCCCTATACACAGTTCACGTAAGCCACCCGTTAGCCCTACATTCCCGAAGCCCCAAATGAAATAGGACCCCGCACTGCCCTAAGGGTCCTGGTAAGTATGGGGGGCCCTACTTTCCAGCTCCTTCCCAGGTTTAGAGTTTAGGGCTTGGGAGTTGAGAGATGAGGCATGGGTGCTTTAAACCGGGGTTCTTGGAGGCTGCAGTATGTGGAGGAGACCTTACAAAAGTGTGCCCCTGAGCAAAACGCTGGCCTGTAGGAGAAAGTCGGTTGTCGGTTCAGTGTTCAGGGTTTCTGGCGACCATCCACCTACAACCCTAAACCCTCAACCCGAAACCCTAAACCCTACAACTTGTTGGTTGCCCACCGAGATCCAAGCCTGCGCGACCGGGAAATCCTGGCGAGGGGCTTTGCAGCTGCTCTCCGACATGCACCGCGAGGAGCTCTAGCAGGTTGAGGGCTGAGGGTTGAAGGCTCTTTTTAGGGTTTATAAGCGGAGGCCCTGCACCCTAAACCCTAAACAACCCTAAACCCTAAACCCTAAACCCCAAACCCCAAACCCCAAACCCCAAACCCCAAACCCCAAACCCCAAACCCCAAACCCCAAACCCCCCCAAACCCCAAAACCCCAAACCCCAAACCCCCCCAAACCCCAAACCCTAAACCCCAAACCCCAAACCCCAACCCCCAAACCCTAAACCCCAAACCCTAAACCCCAAACCCCAAACCCTAAACCCTAAACCCTAAACCCTAAACCCTAAACCCTAAACCCTAAACCCTAAACCCTAAACCCTAAACCCTAAACCCTAAGCAAGAGGGGGGCCTTTCTTGAGGTGCCTGCACGTCGGTGGAGAGCAGGGGGTGGTGAGTTCAGATTGCTCAGAGCCTTGGTTAGGGTTTAGGGTTTAATTCGGGTTTAGGGTTTAGGGTTTACGGTTCTGGGTTAGGGTTTTGGGGTCTTTCTACAGGCCTTCCTCAAGCCCTAACTTTGAAAGCGTGGACCTAAACACCCCAAGCACAAGCCGCCCCTCAGCCCTCGACGCTGAAGGCCTAGACCCTCCAAATCCCTAGACCCTCCTCTCTGCCAATTCCCCAACCTTAAGCCCCAAACCCCAAAACCCTAAACCCTAACCCTAAACCCTAAACTCCGCACGGTGGCGAGGACCTCAATCCGGGAACTGTGCCCTGCAGCCCCTTTTCCGCAGCTCGGGGTTCAGGTTTTAGGGTGTTGGGGTTTAGGGTTTAGGGTTTGGGGTTTAGGGTTTAGGGTTTAGGGTTTAGGGTTCAGAGTGTAGGCTCGAAAGATGAGGATTTAAGGCTTTGGTTTCGTGGAAGGCTGCTGCCCCAAGCAAGCGCTAAGTCCAAACCCACCCTTGACTCGGAATCGTAGGCGTTGAACTCACAAAACCTAGAACCTGAGACCCTAAACCCTAAACCCTGAATCCTAAACCCTAAACCCTAAACCCTAAACCCTAAACCTCAAACCCTAAGCCCTAAACCCTAAACCTCAAACCCTAAACCCTAAGCCCTAAACCCTAAGCCCTAAGCCCTAAACCCTCAGCCCTAAACAAACGGGTTGAGGGTTATGGGGGTCGAGAAGGACATCTTCTAGCCCCGGCACTCCAGGCGCAGCCATGGCGGCATGCTGCCGCGTTCAAGAGTGGGAGGCCGTGTGCACTGTGCCGTTGGGTTTCGGAGTTAAGGATTTGGGGTTTAGGGTTTAGGGCCAGGGTTTAGGGTTTAGGGTCTAGGGTCTAGGTATAGGGTTTAGGGTTTTCTTTGGGGTGGTCGCGGAGCTCACAAAGAACTAGGCCCTAAACCCCTGAACCCTAAAGCATCCGCTGCGGCCATGAACCCTTGAGCTTTGAAGAGCGGCGCTTTAGAGTTAAATAGGGTTTAGGATTGAAAGATGTAGTGGCAGCGGGCTGGCTAACCTCACGCCAGCCACGCGTTAAGTGGGTGAGGAGTTTTGCGTCGGGGTTGCGTGTCGAGGACAGCCCTTAAAATGATCCATGTCAGTTCCTTGTTGGGCTTAAGAGGATCTTTCATTACGTTTCTGATTGATGTTTTGCACCTTGCTAAACCCTAAACCCTAAACCCTAAACCCTAAACCCTAAACCCTAAACCCTAAATCCCTCAACCCTATTAATTAACCATCACCTCGAAGTTCCCTTCGGTGCTTTAGCAGGATCTTACTCAGCAACCTTTCTGGGTTCTCGCCTATCGAGTTTAAGAAGGTTTTTCCTAAACCCTAAGAGCCCGAAGAGCCCAAAAGCCCTAAAAACCCTAAACCCCTAAAGTTTGGGAGTGGCCTTTGGGGCCCACGTCTCTGGTTTCACGAATGACTACGTGCTTGGCCAAAGGTCGACCAAGAGTAGAGCTTCAACGACATTCAACTTCCAGGTCCATTTGACGACCTTGAAGGGCAGACTTCATTCAACAGGCTCCTCAATGAGCAGAGCGGCTAAAGCCTCATGCCCTAAAGCCTAGAAGATGGCTTCAGAGGGCTTAAGGGAGCCAACCTAACAACCTAACATCTGCCCCCGTGTGCCCCTTGTTTGAAAGAGGGCGTTTATAACTGTACTGTTATTGCTGAGTGCTTTTGTATGTTTCCTTTCCGCATCTTGGCGAGTGTATATATATATATATATGTGATATATATATATATATATATATATATGTATATGCTGGGGTGTCCTTGTGGGGATACTCTTAATCCATTCACCTCATATAACCTCTAATGATGCCTTATTTACGGTGGCCCCGCCGGGCAACTCCCCGCCCTCAACCCTCATTAAACCCTTCCTGAAGCTAAAGCCTCAACCCTAGCTAAACACGCCATAAACCCGATAAGCCCAAACCCCTTTAAACCCCAAATCCCTAAACCCTAAGCCCTACACATCCCTAAACCTAAACCCTAAAACCCTAAACCCTAAATCCTAAACCCTAAACCCTAAACCCTAAACCCTTTAAAGCCGCAACCCTTAGCCCCAGGTGGCCCTCGAGCTCTTTCGAAGCGCTCAGTTGGCGGCCTAGCAGTTCTGCATGCCTTGCGCTGCGCCGCCTGGTCACACACTCACACACACACACAAAGGCTAGGGTTTAGGGTTTAGGGTTTCGGGTTTCGGGTTTAGGGTTTAGGGTTTAGCGTTTCGGGTTTAGGGGTTTTGGGTTTGGGTTTGGGGTTTAGTTTAACATCGGGGCCTTAATAATTGGAACAGTGCTTTGGGGGTTATTACAGTAGAATTATATCGGGACCATACGGGAAGACTATTAGTGACTTTTCCGACCCCTGTGTTGCTTCTTCTAAGCGGATTAGGGCGCAGTGTTTCCGAAAATGGGGATACTCAAAAGGGGGGGGTTCCCTCCGTCAGGATTACAGTGTTTGTGGGTATATTAGGGCGCCTCTGTTTCATTTTTTCGCGAGTCAGTGCTCATATGTGCTAATGGTATCCTACGATTGCGATGATCACGACGCTGATGTTATTTGTTGGTTCTGTGTGTAGCCGGTCAACAGGTGACAGGGGCAGTGAGTGTGCAAGCGTTGATCTTCGTCTGATGGCAGCCAAGCGAAGTCAGCAGCTTCTACCCGAAACCCTTAGCCGGAAAGCCGTAGCCCTAAACCCCAAGAGAGCTGCCACGTTAGTTCCAAAAATATGTCGAGTCAGTACACGTACATTCGACATCCCAGACATAATTACAGACAAGCACTCCCTGAAATCCTACGTCTTCCTATTCCGAAAGCATACTCCATGTAGCTGCTGAAAACCTATGTTTTCTTGAACCCACAAAATGCAGGCCTCCACAGCGTCCTTTTCTGAAACCCTAAACCCTACACCCTAAACCCTAAACCCTATAAAGCCCTAAGCCTGAGGCAGTCTGGGACCTCTCTGGATGCCGTGATCTACACGGGGGCCATCCAGTCCTGCGGGGCAGGCGAAAGTGTCGGGGGGCCGCTGTGTGCATCCGTCGGTTGCCTACTAGGGTTTAGGGTTTAGGGTTTAGGGTTTAGGGTTTAGGGTTTAGGGTTCAGTATGTATATGCATGTATACAAGGAGGGGCCCCCCCAGTTACAAGTAGAGTTATAAGAGCCCCAAATCGGGTTATAAGGATCCTAAATTAGGTTATAAGTCCCTTAACTACAGTTAGTATAGTAAGGGGGGCCCCTCCTTGTATGCATATGTATGTGGGCAGATCAGTGGCAGCCTGAGAGCCTGCGGCACCCATAGAAGCCCCGCTTGGAGAGCCCCCTACTTGGAGGTTCAATTATAACTGTACTCATAGCTGTACTTGTAACCGTAATGTTGGGCTCGCTTTAGTGCGCAGGGGTCCCCCCCCGGCCCTCCCCCCCCAAACAATTTTGGGGTTTTCGGGGGTCCTGAATACTGTGGGCTGGGGCTGGGACGGGGCTGGGGGTAGGGCGGCTAGGGGTCGATGGTTGAGGGGAAGCCTTGAAGCTTGAGGGTCTAAGCTTTCCATGCTTTGTAGCTCCACTGTCGCCGGGGCTCCGCATAAATGCGGACCACTGAAACAACTTGCTACAGCGAATCAGGGCAGCTCGTGGGCTACTCCCTTGGAAAGGGGGCCTGTTTCGTATTGAAATTTTAAAAGGAATTTAAATAAGGCTGGACACCAAAAAAATCCGGAGTTTCTTATTCAAAACTTTTTTAGTTTTTGGCTCCCCGGCCCCCCGCCCTTCAACCCCGGCCGGGCAAACATCGCATAATTGAGGACCACCCTAAACAATGGGGGGTCCCCTATAGGATTTCCGGAACATCGCATACTAGTGCCCCTTCTCACGAAAGCGGGTGCAACATTACTTATAACTGTACTTATAGCCATCTTATGGGCGCTGAAGGGGCTTATAAGTGGGTTAGCAGTACAGTTATGGTTGGTACACAAGTACCATGAACCTCCAAACACACCTTGACCCAGAATCCCTATAGACCCTACACTGTAACCCATTGCATGTGAGGATAGGGGCTGGCTCAGGTCTCGCAAGGTTCACGGACTCAGGGGTTTAGGGGTTTACGGCTTCAAGTTTCAGGGATAGTTTAAAAACCCAGGCCCTAAAAACTAAACAACCCTAAATCCCAGAAAGTCTTCATCCTAAATGCGCCCCCCCAAGCCCTGCAAACCCTAAAACCCTGTTTGGATGGGGTTGTTTTAGGGCTGCAAGTCAAGACACTACATCCTAAAGCCTTTTTTCAGCCGTAAATCATACATATGGGGGGCGTTTCAAGAAAACACTGTACCACTAGAGTCCTTTTGGGTTTAGGGTTTTCGGCTGTTCGCCTGGCGCTGGGCGCGTGATCTGCAGCTGTGCAGAGAAAAGCGAGTAGCGCGCAACCCGCTGGTGGTCTCCTGTTTTGCTTTGTAGACGGGAGTGTGCCTGTACTGTAGCTATTGAAGCTGTTGAAATTGTTGTGGACTGTCTGGCCAGGACAAAAGTGGGAGACCGCGCTGAGCTTGTACGACGAGATGGAGGCAAGTAGAGTTTAGGGTTGTGGGGTTGTCGGCTTCTGGGGATCAGGGTTTTGGCATATGGGTTACGTTTTTGGTTTAGGGTTTTGTTGTTTTGGTTTAGTAGGGTTTTGTTTTGGTTTGTTTGGGTTTAGGGTCTTGTTTTGTTTGGGTTTGGGGGTTTTGTTTTGCTTGGGTTTGGGCGTTGTGCTTGGGGTTGTGTCTGGGCATGTTAGGGTTTGGGATGTTGGGGCTTTGGGTTCTTGTGATGTGAACTTCAATTACACCCTGCACCCTAAACCCTAAACCCTAAACCCTAAACGCTAAACCCTAAACCCTGCACCCATAAGCTTCTACAAATCCGAAGCAAACGAATACAGGATCTTCAACACGTCCAAGAATAGTTGTAGCATCCCTCGTTAACCATAGTTTGTACACTACCCGGGGATCTTCCTACTACTACCCCCCTCTATTCTACCCCCCCCCCCCCGCCCTCTATACTACTCCCCTAGGTTCTCCCCCCCCCGCCCCCTATAATTTAAGGCTATTTAGGGATAATTAAGCCTGATTAAGGTTATTTAAGCGGGGAACCCTGGGAGGGGGTAGTATAGACGGGGGTTGTACGGGAACCCAAAGAATTTTTAAATATCTGTTCCAAGTGATGAGGTGCAACATGTGGGAGTTGGGTATCGGACGAGATACCCACGACCATAGGAAAGATTGAAAGATTGAAACCCTACTACAGTTTGCCCTTCCCCCCCCCACCCCCCCCCCGCCCCCCGCCCCCCCCCCCCCCCCCCCACCCCCCCCCGCCCGCCCCCCCCGCCCCCCCCCCCCCCGCCCCCCCCCCGCCCCCCCCCCCCCCCCCCGCCCCCCCCCGCCACCCCCCCCGCCCCCCCCCCCCGCCCCCCCCCCCCCGCCCCCCCCCCCCCCCCCAAAAAAACAAACAGACCAAGCAACTACACAACCCCAAGCCTTAAACCACAAGAAGCCCTCTAAACCCTACACCTTGAGATCTTCCCCCTTATACTGGTACTCTAATCCCTATTAAGGACTGTTAGTATAAGGAAAAACCCTAAACCCTAAACCCTAAGCCCTAAGCCCTAAACCCTAAACCCTAAGCCCTAAGCCCTAAACCCTAAACCCGAAACCCCAAATGTCAGAGGCGCCCCACCAGCGAGCTCATGGTGCGGTGGTCGCCGCGCTGGGCGCGGCCGGGCGCTGGCAGCGCGCGTCGGGGGCCTCAGGGAGCCCATTTCGGGTTGACAGAGTTTAGGGTTAGGGTTTAGGGTTTAGGGTTAGGGTTTAGGGTTTAGGGTTTAGGGTTGAGGGTTGAGGGTTGATGGTTGATAGGGTTTACGGTTTAGGGCTTGGGGTTGAGGGTTGATCGGGTTTAGGGTTGAGAGGGGTCTAGACTGTTTTGCCGGGGTATGCCCGGGTTTTTTGGGAGTAGGGTGGGGGCTAGAGCTCAGGACCTAGGGGAGTAGTGTGCGCTTAAAGGGACGGCCACATAAACGCAAAGATCTCATTGCCGGCGTGCTGCGTCCATTATCATCCAGGTCTGTCGGGCTGATTTTCGGGGTATCGTGAGTACACTGTGGGGATTACGTAGGTGTCGTGCCTTATATTGCAATCACCACTAGGCGGGGGATTCTTGGCGAAAAAGATTGCCGGATCTTTATGTGGTGGCAAAACACAAGCGGACAATGTGGTAGAATCTTTATGTGTGTGGCCAAAGCCAAGGGAATGCTGAAGGAAAACACAAAGCCCACATAAGGATCCACAAAAGCAGCTGGATTCTGTGGCTCTGGTGCAGTTCAGTTAGAGCCGACCGTTCTGCAAAGCATTAGACTGTCTAGACTGCTGCCCCCCTCTATATTACTCTATATACTGCGGAGGTAGGAAGGCACCCATTCTAGCAAAATTTGTAACGTTGCGGCAAGTGTGCTTGCAGAGAGCGTCCTGGATACCTGCAAGTCCGATTTCTTCCCCATAAACCCTCACCCTCAGCAAGCACAAGTCACAGTGGGCATCGTCATAGGAGCTTGGGGCGGATGTGGTCACTCAAGTGTTCTACCAGCTCTGTTTTTTCACTAAGCCCGACACCCTAAACCCTAAACTGCCTGAGCTTGGTATCCTCACAGGCATACTCACAGGGCATATATAATGAACGCAACGGGGGGAGGGGGTGGTTCTTTATGGCCCTTTGGGCTACCCTCAGCCATGCAAAGACTCCCGAAGAGGGCCCCAAAAGACGCACAGGCACATGCGCGCACGCCACATCTGCACGTCGGGCCTCTATAGGGGTCGGAATAATTGCTCATATCATTCCCCTTATGGTCCCTTTGTAAATATACCATAACAAGCCCCAAAACCCCATTCTACTGAATATGATTAAGGCCCCTGTAGTAGCCCTAAACCCCAAACCCTAAACCCTAAACCCTAAACCCTAGCCCTAAACCCTAAACCCCAAAACCCTAAAACCCTTATTAAGGCCCCTATAGTGCAAGGTTCGTCCTCTTTGGTGAGATGGCTGACAGGGAGCTTGAGATGGATGCGGGGCCCCCAGATTCGGGGTTTAGGGTTTAGGGTTTAGGGTTTAGGGTTTAGGGTTTAGGGTTTAGGGTTTAGGGTTTAGGGGTTAGGGTTTAGGGTTTAGGGTTTAGGGTTTAGGGTTTAGGGTGAGGTGTATTCATAGTATCTGAAGGCGGGTCAGGGCTTAGGACTCTAGGGTTCAAGGCTAAGGTTTAGCGTTTCAGGGATTTGGGGTAGGGTTTAGGGTCTAGGGTCCCTCAACCCCATAAGCCCTGCGACCCGAGGCTGCTGAAGGCCTGAAGGCAGACATCCCCCCCCCCCCCCTCGCCCACCCCCCACCGGACCATACCGGGGGGCCATACAAACCCTAAACCCTAAACCCTAAACCCTAGACCCTAAACCCTAAACCCCCCCCCCCCTGAGGTGGTCGGCTACAGCTCGGTGATCACGGCGGCCGAGGTCTCGAAAAAGTGGCCCTGGGCGCTGCACTTCTTGCAGGTGCCTGCCATAGGGTTTAGTAGGGTCTAGGGTTTAGGGTTTAGGGTTTAGGGTTTAGGGTTGCGACTTCAGGGTTTTAGGGTTGAGGGTCGAGCGTTGAGAGGCTTCAGATCTCTGGGGTATACTTTGGGGCCCACATACCGCAAGAACCGATATCTGACTAAACCAGAGCAGTATCACAGCCTCCCAAAGACCCGACCACCCATTAATCATTAGTTAGGCAAGATACCTGAAATTACACCAGGGGGTCCTTAATAGGATCTAAGGTATATTGCTTGCTTGAGGGGTATTGGGCTCTTTGGGTACCTCGTTCTGTGTTCGCCGAATAAGCCTCCGACCCTCAAGCGCGAAACCCCGAATCCTAACCGTCCCCTCAACCCTAAGCCCCCAACTCTAATCTCCAGCCCTTAGCCCTAAACCGGTCTTCGGGATTTAGGGCTAGCACTGAAGAGCAGCAGCAGGACTCCACAAAAAGTTTAAGCATCCCGGGTGCTGCGAGTCTTTAAGATCTTTAAGAAGGTTTCGGGATGCTTCTGGATGTTTGGGGTTTCGGGGCTTGGGGATGTTGATGGCTCAGGGTTACCCCAAACCCTAAACCCTGAACCCTGAACCCTAAACCCTAAACCCTAAACCCTAAAGCCTAACCAGGCTTGAGGGCTTAACAGTTCCATGTCCAGGAGATGATGGAGGAGGAAGTTCAGCTGGGATCCCAGACGGTTCTTCGAGCTCCAGCTCTGGCGAGAGAAGGGTTCAGGGTTTAGGGCTTAGGGCTTAGGGCTCAGGGCTTAGGGTTTAGGGTTTAGGGGTTTAGGGTTTAGGGTTTAGGGTTTAGGGTTTAGGGCTCTTCTTTTGACCGACGTCTTGATTTTACCCTGAACAAACAAGCGAGCCCCCACAGGCGACGCCTGCCAGACCCTTTACCCCACATCCGTGGAACTACCTTGAAGGCCCAGCCACCATTGCACCCGGTTTAGGGTTTTGGGTTTAGGGTTTAGGGTTTAGGGTTTAGGGTTTAGGGTTTAGGGTTTAGGGTTTAGGGTTTAGGGTTTAGGGTTTAGGGTTTAGGGTTTAGCACCGATTTGGGTAGGAACTGCAACGGTCAGAGGCAGAATTCATTGGGGTTTTGGCTTTAGGGGCTTGACGGTGGGTTTCTTAGCTCTTGTTCATGAAAGGAAGGGTTCCCCGGGAAGTTGCAAAGAGAAACCCTGCCTACGATCTCCGCCAGAATACCCTTGCCTCATGACATGACTGCTTGCTTCTCAAAGCACCACGGCCTTCTGAAACAAAACGCGATACGTTTCCTGTTTGCCTTTCGAATATTCTTTTCATGGTTTCAAGCGAGTTTGTTGTTCATTTTGCGGGGACTTCCCGTCAGAAAAAGCAGGCGCCAGAGATCCCCACCTGGGTTGCTGCCCACATGTAGCCTACGAGGGTCTACGTCCCTTGGGCAAACCTCATCAGTTGCACGTTTCGGGTTCTCATTAATTATTCGTCAAAGGGCCCGCGAAATGAAGCGGCGCATGGCATCACTTACTATGTGAGCCTTGATATTCGTATTCGAGTTGAGCCCAGGACCTTGGCCAATAGGCCTTTAAGCTCCGTAGAGCCCTCAACCCGGAAGGCTTGGCCAATGACGGATACTAACCCTGTCAACAGAACCTGGCACAAACTTCCTAATCAAGCTCTGGGGGTTTTGGGGTTTATCGGGTTCAAGGCGGGGTTAGTTACAATGTGCAAGAGCAAGAAACAGCCGGCGCCCCAAAAGCCCTAAGCTCTATGCCTAGGCCGGACACTGCTGCGTACAACTCCGCTATCTCCGCTTCCGTGAGCCCTAGCAGATGCTATCTGCTTCTCTGCTTGTGGTTGCATTTGAATATCCTGACCTGGTTGCTGCTGTTTGATGGCATTGAGGGTTTAGAGCTGTTGAGTGACTGAGCTTCCCGAAAGTTCACAGGTCAGCGGTCGAGGCGTCTACTACTTTAAGAATACAAGCCAACAGGTGACCAGCACTCTGCCCTTGCAATCCTTTTAGGCGCTTTGACAACTACCCAGAATTCCAATTGCTAACTAATGAGGCCACTTCATTAGCTACTTCGACTTCCCCTTGCATATCCACTAAACCCCAAGCCCTGCGTGCAACGGGGCTGGTAATCGTGGAGACGTTTTCTGGGTTCGGTCGTAGAACGCTCCTTATTAAATTGGGGTTTACCAGCTTAGGTCGGGTGGCTATACCAGGATCTAAGGATCAGGCGCTTTCGACCTTAGAGAGCTTCCCGTCCTAAACCCTAAACCCGATACCCAAAACCCTAAACCCACTTGCCAGGAGAAGAGTGGGAAATGGCGCGTCGCGGTCGCTCTCCTGCAAGACATGCAGGAGATCTGGGAGACTCCGCTCAGAACCGAAGACCTCCTAAACCCTAAACCCTAAACCCTAAACCCTAAAACCCTAAAACCTAAACCCTAAACCCTAAACTTAAACCCTAAACTCTAAACCCTAACCCCTAAACCCGAAGCCTGATCTCCGAAACTAAACCCTCCAAGCAATAACCTAACAGGGCTAATTATAGGTTTGAACATAAGTTGCTTAGTCCCTTTAATTTAACCTTATGAAGCCATGAAGGATTGATGTTTTAAGTGCCGCCAAACCTACCCCCAACTTAACCCTAAACCTTCACCCATGAGCTTCAACCCTATAGCCCTTAAGCCCTCTGGCCACCGAGTGCTTGCGGCCCAAGTTTACACCAGCAGGCGGGAGGGCCGCCAAAGGGGGGCAGAACCCTTACAGTAGAGCTTAGGGTTTAGGGCCTCAACCCTAAACTCTCAAAACCCTAAACCCTCAAAACCCTACAGACTGATAGACCCTAGACCCTAGACCCTAAACCCTAAACCCCAAACCCCAAACCCTAAACCCTAAACCCTCAAAACCCTACAGACTGATAGACTCCAAGCCCCTAGAGCCTCCTAATCCCTGTGGCGAGGTCCAGAGAAGGCTTTCAGGTGAATATGTAGGCAACCCCAGGATCCCTGATGCGTAAGCCCTGAACCCCAAGCCCTCTAAACCCTAAACCCTAGACCCTAAGCCCTAAACCCTAAACCCTAAACCCTAAAACCCTAAAACCCTAAAACCCTAAAACCCTAAAACCCTAAAACCCTAAAACCCTAAAACCCTAAAACCCTAAAACCCCAAACCGCAAACCCTCTAAACCCAAGGTCCTGAATCCTAAGCCCCCCCCAAAGCCCAGCGACGCCATGGGTTCCATGCCAAGCTGCGCGGAGAAGGCCCCGACACTTACAGGGGTCTCGGGGTTTAGGGTTTAGGGTTTAGGGTCTCAGGGTCTCAGGGTTTAAGGTTAGGTTTCGGGCCCTGATCTTCTTCAACGCAACGGTTGTCGGGACGGCATAGGAGTGTAGGGCTTTTACGGTTTGAGCTCTAGATCTTCTAAAGCCCTCGACATCCCCAAGCCCTATATCCCCCTGCGGGCCGCCTTCCCCACGTCGAGGCGCAGTCCTCATGTCACGGCATCGCGGAGTGCCAAGGCAGCAAGGACACAGATGAGTTCCTTGGAAGCCCAGTGGTACCCTTTGCCCTTTTCTTGTTGATGGTCCCCTTATTATTATACTATGAAAGAACCAACCCCAAAAAAGGGTGCCCTTATCATAAGAACCATCCCCTTATTATTATATTATGAAAGAACCAACCCCCCAAAAAGGGTGCCCTTATCATAAGATGGTTCTCGGGCTGCCAAGGTTCAGTCCCGCTGAGCAGGTGGGCGGATGGCGGATTGTGGGTTCAGGGTTGTCAGGTTAAAGGGTTATGAGGCTTCTTCTTCTTCTTCTGCTTCTTCTTCTTCTTCTGCTTCTTCTTCTTTTGTCTGGATTTCTTTGGGGTGCGGCTTCAGCCTTGCGGGACACAGGAGCTTCGTGTTCAGGGATGAGGGTTTGGGGATTCGGGATGGAGGATTTGGGGCTTTGGGGTTTCGGGTTTAGGGTCGGATGTCTGGACCCTGCGCCCTTAGATGCACAGCACCCGGACACAGGAGCAGGTCGGCCCGGAGCATGCTCTGGCAGGAGGACGGCGCAAAAAGTATGAGAGTGCACTGCGCGGGAATCCCCAACCAACAAAACGACGTGAACCTTCTGCAAAAGCCCAGGGTTTCGCAACCGCACCCTCCAAAATCGGCCTTGTGCTTGTAGCACAAGAGCACGCACCTATAAATCATAGGGCCGAATAGGGGGCTGGGATTGCCCTGAGCCCTAAATGCCGAAAACATCTGCAAGTGGGATTCCATGCCGGGCTTCCCTATGTCCTAAGTAGGATGAGGGGGACCCTTAAGAGTGAAACAGGGATCTTATTCAAAGGGTCTATATCCCCAAGGGCCCCCCCTAATCCTATCCCCTAATATGTTGGACCCTAAACCCTAAACCCTAAACCCTAAACCCTAAACCCTAAACCCTAAACCCTAAACCCTAAACCCTAAACCCTAAACCCTAAACCCTAAACCCTAAACCCTAAACCCTAAACCCTAAACCCTAAACCCTAAACCCTAAACCTAAGGGCTTTTTTTGGGCTGACGTTATTGAGCCTTGTCGGAAGGTGGTCAAGTTAGAGTGCGTGCAGCCCGAGTGCGACCAGCCCGACGAATCCAGACGGCTAGATTCCCGTGACGGAAGTCAGGCTGGTGGGTTGGGATCTTATACCCTAAACCCTAAACCCTAAACCCCAAACCCTAAACCCTAAACCCTAAACCCCTAAACCCCTAAACCCCTAAACCCCTAAACCCCTAAACCCCTAAACCCCTAAACCCCTAAACCCCTAAACCCCCAAACCCCTA